TCAGCTTCAGTATAGGTCTTTAGAGCTTGGCGTTGTTGAGACATTACGCGTTGTTATTACGAAGGTGAGGTACTAGGATTTCGTGGGGCGCACACTGGGGTGGGGCGCACACTGGTGATACACGTTACCTATTAGGACAAAGCTCTGGGGCTGACACACGATGCATCATATGCTTAGCACCGTAGGTACAGTATAGTACAGTGCAGTACAGTACAGTGCCACATACATGCACTGTAGACGCTCCTTCTGCACGCCTGTCGTCGTCCTTTGCCCTCGACAACGCCTCACAAAGCAATTGCACAGCCACATCAAGCCACGCGTACAATAGCAGTAGCCCACGCGTATGCCCACAGATATGTAGGGTACAACAGTAGTCGCAAGGCTACCCGCAATAGTCGTTTACTAATGTCATCTCTCACGGGTCACCCTGCATGTGCTTTCCATTATAGCGTCAGCCACATGGAGGCCGGCGCGGAACAATCCATCGGCCGAGCGCCAATGCCACACCTGCTCTCACTGGTCCTCGGCCTCCGAGTCTTTCCCGCCACCGCAACCGGCACTGCTGAGTAGCGTGGCATTTCTAGTCCATCGAACAAACGGCCCTGTCCTGGTTCCTGTTCGGACACCTCGTCCTCCGGTTGCAAAGTCCAGAAGCCAAAAAGCCTTCCACAGCCTGTTTCATTTCCTGTTCCTCGTCCGTGTCCTTGTTCGCTTTTCTTTTGCTCTCCTTTGCCCGTTTCTCGTCCCCTTCTCCTCGGCCATGTACACCAACCATGCCGACCGCCCGGCTCGTCCTCTGGGCTATCCACACTCCTGGCACGCTCGGGAGTCTCCTGCGTCAGATCCTAGCTTGATGAAAATCGTCAGCAACTTTTTGCATTAGCTTGTAATTACCATCCGTCAGAGCCACGGATAGACGGACCAACGGCAGCGCAAAGCAAGCATTATACTCTGTATCCACCGTTTTTTTTTTCGTCTCCACGGTTGCGAAACGCCGTCGACAATGCGTACCTGACTTGGCTATCCGGCCCATTTCCTCGCCCATTTCTGCCCACACACTGTCGTGGGTACGTCCTTGGGGTATCCCTTCCGCGTGCTACTATATCTGGGTATTGTTTGGTTTTGATGCAAGCAGGCGGAGCGCATGGTATAGTAGTCCGCGGTACCTCTTGCGTCGTTTCAGACCCATCGCTCGAGGTAGATGATGACGATGATGATAGAGCTGCCTTGTTGAGTGCTTCTAGCACAAAAGGCGGATACTCATCACAGATGTGAATGTAATCAACCTTCCTTGGCTTGCGCGCATACTTCTCCGGCGACCTAGATTTCGCCGAAAGACATTTTTCCGGTTGGGACAACATGTGGGGCTGCTGCCGAGGCGGACCCTGCAAAGGTTCCGATATCTCCATTGCCGTCTGTCGATTGGACTGCTGAGGTATTGCTGTTTGCATTACGTAGATTGGTACTCGAGGAACACCCTGTGCCTGCCAATACATTGGTGTTCGGTGCTGCATCACCGACTGCATATTTTGAGTTTGGTCTTGCCATCCCAGAGAAGGGCAATATGTTGGGTTATATGGTTGTTGCTGAGCTTGCACAGGAGCGCAGAGCTGGACCGTTGGCCTCATCTCTATACCCCTATCCCCTGTTCGTTCGTATTCAAAATTTCCGCTTTCGTGGTCCCTTTTTGCTCGCAGGGGATCGAGTCTTCTTCCCCGCTCGCTTTTCCTAGATCTAGATCGACGTTTCTCCACATACACAACTGGTGGGTCCTTATCCGAGTGAGGCGACAAGGCGTGGAGCCATTGCCCAATATCGAGACAACAGCGATGAATATAATGACTGAGACACCATAAAGCGATGAATATGAGAGCCAAGCCAAATAGACTGGCAAAAACGGCGGCGATGGTGAGATTGGTATTTGTCATGGCAGTTAATTCGGTAGAACGAATTACAACGTTAAGATAGGAGATGTTGACAAAAGATTAGAAAACACTCCCAGAGGCGAAGAAAAAAGAGCTGTCTTTTAAGTTACCTTGTATCCACAAGCAACTCCTCAACCTTCCAATTACACCAGACCTGTCAGAAAACCCGCCCTACACAGCAAACACCCCATCTGTTGTGTAACTTTTCTCCTACCAGACTTTCCCGTAAGCCTCCAACTCACCAGCCACACACACACACTCGCGCCCACGAAATCCATCCACTCCACCTTACACACAGCTACGCGCTCGATAAAACCCCATGACCCAGTGCTGTCCCACCCACACACACATCGAGAAACAAACATGTGTAACCCCGTCCACGCCAACACGCTCCGCCCTAAGTACCACATTCCACAACGGTTTTTGTGCCCTGGTCATGTCCCAATCTCTCGAAATGTAACACTCCATGCTTTTTACTTTCCATTCGCCTTGCTGCCCACTTTGCTGTTCGTTTTACTGCCCACTTTACTGCTCGCTTTGTTGCTCGCTCCGCTCGCACTCTCCCGCTGACACGCCAACTCGTGCATCTCGGCGTCGATGACGCGCCGACAACTTCGCATCAAGCACCATCCGAAGAAGCAGCAGAAGAGCGTTACCAGGGTGATTGTGAGGATTATCGTGTATGCGTAGTTCATTATTTTGGCTTGAGGCGAGGGGTGGGGTTCTTGGATTGGTGGGTGGGACGGAGAGTATGGGGTTGTTGGAGAGTGGAATGGGTTTGGTGGTGTTGAGGTTCGAAATGAGAGCTGTGAGAGGTATAGGAAACGGGAATGAGATGTTTAGTGTTGACTGTTTGTAGAGCTTCGAGTGTTGTTTACATTCACTTTCACCTTCACTGGTACGCTTTAGCCTAGCATTAGGCTCGCAACTCCTCTCTTATTTCTTGAGATCAACATCTACCCCGTCTCTTTCATCTACAATAGCAAATCTCACATCTCACATCTCACATATATTCAAGCACTATACCCTCCACAAAATCCAAATAACTACTATTCCATTTTACTGTTACATTTTACACAATCTACTCGTACAAATACATCACTCCATACACCCTACGACCAGCCCTTCAAAACTCCCTCAACGCATCAATAACCTCCTTCTGCCTCTGACTTCCCATCTTCTCAAACCCATCCACACTCATAACAAACGTGCCCCTCCCCCCCGTCAGCGCCCGCAGATGATTCAAATACCCCACCATCTCCTTCAACGGCACCCTCGCTACAATCTGGCGTTGATTATCCGCAACACCACTCCCTACCTCCCCCGTCCCCGAACTAAACGGATCAGGCGGCGTGTAAATAAGCGCTGGGTCAATCCGCGGCAAGTCGTCGTCACCATCATCGCCGTTAGCACTCGATGATGTGTGTGAGGACTCGGTACCATCAAGCGACAACACCTGACCACCGCGGGACGAAGAAATATCTTGCACGACTGCCCCGAGCGAGCTTTCATTTACAAAAATCGTAACGTTCATGACTGGCTCGAGGAGGGCCGCGGGCGCAGCGCTACATGCAGTCCGTAGACTCGCCCCCACAGCGGCGCGAGCAGCCATGGAGAGCGCGGTCGTTGTTGTCTCGGGGAATAGATGGGCGGCTGCGTCTAGGGTGATGGTGACGCGCGTGTTGGCGACGGGGAAGCCGTTGAAGGGGCCGCGGGCGAGGGCTGCGGCGGCGCCGGCTTGGAGGGCGTGCAGGATGCCTGGGAGGGAGAGGTGAGGGGGGATGTGGGATTTGTGGGTGGAGGAGTCGTGTGAGGAGAGGTTGGGGTGGGAGATGTAGAGGGTGTTGTTGTCTGGGAGTTTGTAGGTGGTTTCGAAGGGGGTGTCGTGGATTTCTTGAGTATCGAGGGTTAAGATGTTGGTGAGGGTGGATTCGTCCATGGACTCGACGGAGGCGGTGGTGATGGCTTTGGACTGCTTGCCTGCGATTGGTTTGTCGAGAGTGTAGGTGAAGGGCTCGGTTGATGTGGTGATGGTTTCTCTGTATCCGATTTCGATTTTGCCGATTCGCGCTTTGGCTTTGAAGTCGTTCAAAAGTCGGTCTCGGGCGATTTCGAGATGCAAATCTCCCATGCCTGCTAGATGCGTTTGTCCAGACTCTTCGTCGACTGAGAGGTGCAGACTCGGATCCTCGCGTAGTAGGATAGCAAGGCTTTCTTGTACGTGCTTTTGCTCGCTCAAACTGTGAGGTTCGATACTGGTAAAGAATACAGGCGGCGGAACGGCGATAGGTCGGAGTTGCAGCGTGTTCAACCCACCAGATGGTGTGCCCTTCATCTGTAGCCCACGGTATACAATCAGCGTATCACCAGTCCTAGCATGCTTCAGTCCAGTGATGACACCAATCTGACCAGGACCGATACTATCTACTTCCACTGCATCGTTGGCGTACATCTTCAACAGTCGAGGTGCGCGCTCAGCAACGGCCAGGTTGGTGTTGTACAGCGTGGCGCCGCGATCAACTGAACCAGAGTAGACGCGCACGTAGACCAGGACGCCCCTTTTGGCATCATTAACAACCTTGAAAGCCAGAGCACAGGCTTGTAGATTTTTCACTTCGGCAATAGCGAGCTCGCCCGTTCGCTTTTCTTGCTTCTTTGCCGGCTTGGATGACTTGATGGGTGCTGTAGATGCTGAACTGAGAAGAGCAGCAAGGGTACTACTCTGGTTTGTGATGGCTATCTCAGGATCCGGGCGTTCGAGAGGTGATGGGAGGAGATCGACTACACTATCAAGAAGTGGCTGAACACCAATGTTGCGGAACGATGCCCCAGCAAACACTGGAATAACCGATTGGGGTGCTTGTAAAACGACTCGACGAAGAGACTGCGTGATTTGAATACCAGAAATGGCGAGATGGTCTTCGTCATTTTCCAGGAAGTGCTCAACCATTACGTCGTCGTGCTCGCTCAGTGTCTCGACAAGAGCTATTCTGGCCTTTTTAATTTCTGCGGCGAAATCTTTGTCAGTCTTTTCCAACTCTTCGAGGTCCACGGCCTTGATATCTCGCCCATCTCCGCCTGCCTTCCAGAGCATGCCACGGAGATTGATAACATCTCCGACCCCAACAAAATCGCCGTTGCCTCCCTGCCACCAAGGAATCTGACAAACTGCAGGCCATCCGCGTAGTCTGGAACCAATCTCTTTGACTGTTCTTGAAAAGGCAGCGCCTACACGGTCCAGCTTGTTGACGAAGATGATCCTGGGAATATGATAGTGTCCGGCTTGCGTCCACACCTTTTCTGTTTGGGCTTCGACTCCTGCTACCCCGTCTAGAATACAAACCGCGCCATCCAAGACACGCAGCGAACGGAGTACCTCGAATGTAAAATCAGCGTGACCTGGGGTATCGATGAGATTGATGTTGTGAGGGGTAGAAGATCTCAAAACATTATCAAAAGATACTGGCAACTGTGGTAGAGATGGCGTTGTTTGATTACTTGGTGGTAGTGGAGGCCAGTGGAAAGTTATGGCTGCAGATTGGATGGTGATACCTCGTGCTCGCTCAGCGGGAAGGAAGTCAGTTACTGTTGACCCTTCGTCGACATCTAGAAACGGTTAGTGTTTTCGTTGAAGCCGATATTTTTGATTCACAAGTGATACAAGGGCACCGAGATATTTGGAAAACACTACGCTATTGAGGTAAAATGAATTCGTAACATACTTCCTATTCTACGAGTGACACCACTGTAGTAGAGCATACGCTCAGTTGTAGTCGTTTTACCCTGGACATTCATTAGAGCCTTTTCAGCTTCACAAAGGAACCATCCGACCTACTGCATCAATGTGGGCAATGATGCCGATATTGCGGGTCGCTTTGGAAAGTAGGTCATGGTGAGGTGCCTGGGTCGACAGCAACCGCCGAGGAGTCTTCACATTGTGCCGAACGACTCGGCGGGCACACCATATCCAGCCGGTTATCATGCCAATGACTGCGCAATGCGATGGTGATGCGAAGGATGGTGTGTGTAGAAAATGCACGTGACGCAAAAGATGGCATGGTTCGCGCCTTTCCTAGCCGGGCTAAGGGCAAGGCAGGGCGTTGGAGCGACATCATCGCATCACTCTCCAGCTAGTCGCAGCCGTCGATAGCTTCAATTCACTCCCCCACAACCATGGATTACAGCGCTCACGATCCCGACCACCCCGCCGGCGGCGATCCTTGGGCTTCGTCGCCTCAGGCAAACCGATCGTCTTTTGGCCAGCCTCCAACTAACGATATTCCGTCATCCCCGCTGCCTGCGCAGGCTTCCCCATATGGCGAGAACAGTGAGCAGTACGGCTACCTGGGCGAGCAGGATGCGCAAAGTCGGCCGGGTACGGCGCCTGACAATGGCAATCAATCGCAGCAACAGCAGGCGCACGGTCAGGACGCGCCTCGATCACCTCAGCCGCAGCAACAGGGCCAACAGGGACAGCAGCCACAAAGGTACCACGGCACGAGACCACAGCGACAGCAGCAGCAACAGCAGCAGCAGTATAAGCTGCAGGCCAAGGTCACAGGTCTTGAGCGCAATGGAAAGAAGGACCCCATAATACGATTCGATGTTTACGTATGTCTATACGACTTCAACCTGGCAAAAGCATGCCTTCGCAATGTGCTGGACATTGAGCATTGGATCAAGGTAGCGTTGGTGCTCTCGGCGCATTGCTGTTTGGCTGCAAAACTACCTCCATATCTGTCCACTCCACTTGCGGATGGCATCCCTAACGGTGGCCTCATGCTAACTTCTCCATTCAGACGAACCTTCCCAAGTTTCGCACCACTCAATTCCGCGATGTCCGGCGTCTACACTCTGAATTCGTGAAACTTGGCGAGCATCTCATTTCCGCATGTCCAGAAGCTATTGTGCCTGCAGTACCACCAGCGACTACATCGGCAGGCGCTGGAACCGATGAAGATGAGGCACGACTCAAGATATCAATCCAGCGGTGGCTCAACATTGTGTGCAGCAACGAAATACTCATACGTGACGAGGAAATGGTCTTCTTCGTAGAAAGCGATTTTGGTTATAGCCCCGTGGTGCGAAGGAAGCAACCTGCTACTGGAGTGCGCCGCAAGATGATCAAGCAGTTTGCGCCGCCTCCGGATGACACGCCAGAACTTGCTGCGGCACGACCAGTGGTCAAAGCATTCTACCTCGGTACAATGGAGGCTGAGCAGAAGTTGGAGAAGGTTGTGAAGCACCGAAGGAGTAAGTGGTCAGCATATGTCATACGGAATATAAGTCTAATTTGTTGTAGACCTCGGGGTCGCTGAATCTGACCTGGGCGCCAAGTTTGCAGCACTACAGGTCCAAGAGACGCATGTCGGTTTGGCCCACGCGTATAAGAAGCTCGGAAAGATTATACAGGCTACTGGTGACTTTCATGCGGCTCAAGGTACTGCCGAAGCTACCACTCTAGGTGATCCACTCCAGTACCACAGCAGCGATGCCTTTATCGCGAAAGAAACTCTGACAAATCGTCACATCATCCTTCGCGAACTGCTGCAAGCACAATCAGCGACCAAGTCCAAGTTGTCAGCGGCTGATAGGCTGAAGGCCAGCTCGAGCGTGAAACGGGAAAAGGTTGACGAAGCTATTGCCGCTCTGGACGAGGCTAGAAGCCACGAGCAATACCTGATGCAAAAAGCACAGCGTGTCACTGCCAATCTTCTTCAAGAACAGCGGAGGTGGTTCGATCGGACTACGCACGACATGCGGCAAGCGATTCGGGAATACGTAGTGCGCCAGATTGAAGCCGAACGCCGTACTCTAGCTACTCTGGAATCTGTAAGACCGGACATTCGGGCGATTGATGGCAGCGGTGGTCTTTCGCGGCTTGGACGTGAAGCGCATCCACCACAGCGCCGGGTTCCCATGGCAAGCTCTCAAGGACCCAAGGGCGATGCATGGTCGGGCGTGCCGCGACGACCCGGTGATGGGCTCAATCGCAGTATGAGCGGTAGTTTTGTCGCTCCACTTCCTGAGACTGACGAAATCGACGAAGAGACAATACACGGCAGAAAGCGGGCTACTAGCAAAGCGGGAAGCCAGGCAGGAGTGGAAGAGGACGATGATCGGATTGATGCGAAGAACGCAGCCAGTAGGCTAGCCACAACGACGTTCTAAAGGTTGTTTTGGTTTATAGGGAGAGTTGAGAGAAGCCATGGGATAGTATGGTTAGTTGTGTGCTTGCCCTGGACCACCACCACTGCACGATACCACGCGGCATAATGTACACTGCAGCCTATAGGAAAGTTTTCTGAGCCATGTTCACCCTTGCTGTGCAACGCGTAATTTTTTTGCTCCAGGATGGTGCTGGTGATCTTTGTGCAGGTACGTACCGGCCGAGGGGATGCCAAGACCGGGTCTACTGACGGCAGTCGACCTTTGCTCCACGATGGCCTTCTCGAGCTTCATGTTTGGTCCCCTCTCGACTTTAGCCAGCCACCTCATGGCACTCTCCGGGCATGCAGCAAGACAACAAAATCACGCCAGTTCTAGACCACGAGCCACTGATTGTTGAGTCTCTCAGCCCGGATTCTGCCTGCATCGGCTTTTGGCATGGGTCACGGCAGTGGGCCAACCCTGGTGCAAATCGCGAATGCGCGGCTGCTGTGCGTCACTTGATCAGAGAGGCCTTCGTACCAGCCCCGCGCGCAATCTATCCAGCGTGGCGACGATATTGCAAAGTGTGGGGTCAAATACGGCACTCACTCTACTCTACACCAAGGCACCAGAGCGAATAGCAGTAGCCTGGGGACACTAGCCGTAAACCAGAGGCCCTGCCCCTGGCCTCCGTGCCGCCTGACCGGCAGGTGAGCATGCGCGCCAGGGAGGGAGCCGTTCGAGAACCATGGCACGACACCGGCCGGCTTCTGCCAACCTTGTACCGACGATCAGTTACCGGAGTCGCACAGTTTGCACGGAGATTCTGTATACATGCATCAACTCGTATCAAGTACCGCCGTCCAGGTCCTGGTTGAGATGTCCGCGGTGGAATTGGGATTGGCATACCGAGAGCCGATCCCCCGCAATGTACTACCATATCGCGTTGGGGAAGACGACTCATAGTTGGAAGCGAGACCGGGGTGCAGTATTGCACTCTACCACTCCGGGTGGATAGATGTATTCGCCAAGCTGCCATGCACCAAATCGAGGGTGCTGAATCTGCTGTGCCACTCGGACGCAGGAGCGTGGAACCCTGCTTATAGCGTCGACAGGCTTGTGCGAGCTGCGATAACATGTTGGTTGTGTCCAAACCGCCGTGGTCCAAACCTACACAGTAAACCTAAAGGTTCGGTTGCTGTTTTCAAACCTGAAGGACCTCCGGTAAAGTCCTATTTGGGTATGACTCGGTCCACGCCTCAGAATGGCGCCGTTCCGCCAATACTCAACGGGGCTTGGACGGAAACCAGAGTGAAGCCCATCTCACCGTAAGCGAAATGTCAACCGGCCGGCAACTTTGTGCGGTCCTGCGTCCCGGGTAAAGTGCATGTGCAGTGTGAAGATGATCATGCACCAGCTGCTTCTGATGGGGCGCCCCCCCGAATCAGACCAGCGGAGAGCATCAAATAACGGAATGCTTTTCCTCGATTGGCGACCGGCTAACCACCATCCCTACTGTTGGATGCAGCCTATCGACGCCACCATCCACATATCCGAGGGCCACCGTTTACGTGGTCGAGTCAGGGTCGAAGGATCATCGTCGCAGCCGCTGGCAGCCCTCCAAGAGCCTGAATAAGGTCACGGCGAATGTACATAACGTTGCGGAGCCCATGTCCCTTGCAAACACTTTTGGCCCTCTCCTCACTTTCGTTTTGGCTTGTTACGCCCGTATTGCAAGCACGCCCCTCACTCTGTTGGTGATACTTAACGCTTGCGCCCAGCATCTAATATTTACATCGACATTGGCGTTTCGATATTCTGATTTCACAGAGCACATCCCACGTGACGTCGACCGAAGTGTCGGGGTTCAACCAAACATGCCGAGAGTCTTCAAGTTTCTCAAGACTGCGCTGGCGCCTAGCATTGGAAGTTCCTCGCCGCAGGAGGTAGTCGACAAGAATAATTCGTCACCCAAGGCATCATTCACTTCCTCGGCAGACGACACATGGCTGCCAGACTTCGATCCACTCACGGTCACGGCATTCGAACTGTCCGAACTCTTGAATGCGCGAGCAATTACAAGCGTGCAAATCGTACAACTGTACCTGAAGGAGATTGCGTTACACAACAGAAGAGGCAGACAATTAAGAGCATTGATTTCTGTTGCCCCAAAACATGAACTATTGAGGATAGCACGCAAGCTGGACGATGAACGAGCAAGAGGCAAGATAAGAGGCCCACTTCATGGCATTCCAATAGTAATCAAGGACAACATCATGACGGATGAGACGCTAGGGATGGATACGACAGTTGGTATGTTCGAATAACTAACCTGGATGCCATCAGTAGGACTTATGTTCTTGTTAGGCTCCTATGCTTTTGTAGGCTGTATACCTAAGAAGAGCGCGACCGTTGTCGACCGCTTGATCAAGCGAGGGATGATCATCATTGGAAAATCGAACCTTACAGAATTCTGTGGTCTCAAGAATCCGTCAATGCCTCCGGGATGGTCAGCGGTGGGCGGACAGTGTCAGTCACCGTATGTTTCAAGACACATTGCAAAGCGAAAACTACATTGGGAACTGTCAGCTCCTGGAGGCTCCTCAACAGGATCAGCTGTGGCCGTGGCTTCAGGCTTCAGCACTCTGGCGATTGGCACGGATACCATCGGATCACTTATCACGCCAGCAAACCGCGCGGCCCTCTACGCACTAAAACCTACAGTTGGAGAAGTTCCGATGGACGGAATCTTCAACCTAAGCAAAACATTTGATTCAGTTGGTGGCATGGTAAGCTGGATGTTTGTCAGCTCGTATTGGACGCACTAACTTTATGTAATAGGCCAAGTCTGCAAAGGATCTTGTGGCGCTTATGGACGCCTTGATGGTACCCACCAACAGAGAAGAGAATGTGCCGAGTCCACACAGATCATTTAAGATTAAGCCAGATTTTGGCACGCTTCGAATCGGCATCTGTGAGCCGTCAATCTGGAAGTCATGGCGCAAAAATGGGCGCATTAATGCTGACGCCGAGAGGTTTATGGTAAGTTTGCGAAGATACCGCTGACATCACTCCACAAAGTCACAAGTTATACGTGCGTCCACGCCTTTGTTGCAGGGATCATTATGTTGTTAGAGCCTCTGACGCTGACACGAAACAGACCCAGAAGTACGACATGATTGTTCAGAGCATGATCGAGATGGGCGTCGATGTTGTGTACCCGGTCGAACTACCCAATCCAATGAGCTTGACCATCGATGGCAAGAACTGCTTCGAACCAGTTGTCTGTACGTTGCCATGAACTTTGTACTACCACCAACATGCTGACGTGCTGCAGATGCCGAGTTCAAGGATTGCTTATCAGAATTCATCCGGGACTTCAAGGTGACCAAGATGCATTCATTGGCTGAGATTATCAACTTCAATCTGGAGCATCCAGAATTGTGTCTCCCACCAAGTATGTCAATTTGCGTTGCTATAGTTGATGTCTCCTAATTATATTTTTTAGCATGCCCAGATCAGAATGATCTTATGGCCGCCCTACAATCCAGTATCAAGCGCGAAGAAATCAACGCCGCACGACAACACCTTCAGACCGCCGGCGGACCTGAAGGCCTCGACTTTCTCTTCGCTTCGCGCTCTCTCGACATCATCATGGCGCCCGGAGACGCCGCATTGTCCACGCTTGCAGCAGCAGCAGGGTACCCAACTGCTGCGTGTCCACTTTCCGCTCTCAAACTCAACGGCCAACCTTTTGGCATCACGCTCGCCTCACGTCCGCACACCGAACACACGCTCCTCCACTTCCTGACCGCATACGAAAACATTTTCCCACCCCGTGCCCTCCCCATGCCGCTTTCATCGGTGCCGCTCCAGGACCCCAACCCAGAACCGCTCCCCGATCAACCCATTGTTGATCTTATTCTACACGAATGGGACACGCGAAGATTCAGTTGCAGTGCGGATGCGCTGGCGGACTGGCTCAACGCACGCTGGCGCAAAAGCGGGTACGAACTTAGTGCTGAGACGGTGTGTGAGGTTCTGAGGAGTAATGGGCGGATTGCATTCAGAGGGCTGGGTGATGATGCTGAAGGTGCTTTTTCACGATAGTTGCTCTGTGAGCCTTTTTTACGTGACTAACAGGAATTTCCTTATTGTCATCTTCATATTGGGGTTACATGCATATTTGGCAGTTTGTATCATTTTGAGGGATATTAGCGTGGTGTTTTAGCGCAATTATCATTCCGTGTCAATCCCTATGGAGAAAGGAGCTATCTGGCACCTACGGTCATAACTAGAGAGGGTAGTGTTATATGAAATACGTTCCAATTATGTTGCGTGTACGCTTATCTAATTTCTCAGCGACTTTGTCAGGCGTTACTTCTTCTTGCTGTGTATTAAGTTTATTCACATATAATTAGCATCAAGTTAATCTTAGTACGATCTTGGCAATAGCTAAAACCAACCTCCCCCCCCTATTCTTGCAGCAATGAGTCAATCCGTATCTTTACAGACTCTGCCTGATACTGTATACCAGCAACCTAATGACCTACTAAGATTTTATTCGCTGTGAACACGATATAGTGGACCCACATCTGCATACTCTACTTTACAATATCAACCTCGTCATAAGCTATGTCCTAATTTCTCAACAACCGAGACTTGCCTCGTATATCGTTACCTCAACTTTAGGGCCTGCACGTAAGCGTCCTTGGCCCTTCGACACCACATTCCGATTCCACGCGCCATTACTAGTCCACTCCGGGGTATGTACTATCACTCAACTGCGTCAAATTTTTCAATACAATAAGAATGATTGTACCGTCAAGGCAAGTTGTCGTGTTAGATTAGAGGAAAGTAAGCAAAAAGTGATTCCGTTTTTTTTCAAATTGAGGTGCGAGTTCTGATGAGGAATAATAAAAAAGCGATCTCACTTATCTTTAGTGATGGAAGAATTCTTGGTATAAACGACGGGTTGTGTTGATTTATCCATGATTACATCTCCCCCGCCCCCCCTTAGCATCTTAAAGCGATGTATCTACAGGTGTAAAAACAAACGATTCTAGAGAATCAACGTCAATGACGAGTTCTGGATTACGAGTGTAAAAAGAATAGGGTTTTGGATAAGGTCGTAGCGGATTCTGGGTTTTAGCGAGGAAGATGTTAAGGGGGGGAGGTGTGGGCAGTGGCGGAGGTGTGGAGTGCGCTTGGGAGGTGTATAGGAACGGATGCGTATGGTGTTATAGTGGGTTCGAGTCGAGGTATGTTGGGCCCGGATGAGACAACCCTCTATCAGACCCTACGTAGTTGAAAGCGCGAAAAACAATAGCCACTCGCATGTACGTACGGAAGGGTGTCTTTTTTTTCGCTTCTTGTAATACTGGCCATAAGGGCCTGGAACTGTGTATCACTTTTGAAGTATACCGGGGGTTTTTTTTTTCGCTGAGAGATTTGCCACAGGTGAGGTGCAGAATGTAGGAAATGGATCTTAAAACGATAGTTATTGAGCTGCAGTATGCAGCTTCGTTGTGGCCTATGTAAGAGTGATGTGCAGTAGTGGTCGTTGTGGATGCTTGGGGAGAATTCAGTCCTGCAAGGGATGTTGATGCTTGTTAAAAAAAGATTAAATAGACTGCTTCGCTTTGGCTACTTCCCACATTTAGATTGTAGTACAGTCTGATTACTTTGATGTGTTCAACGCTAACTAAGTTACATCTAGCGTGGCGATGACTCTGGAAGAGAGCTGACGTTGGTACCGCTGTCCCCGCACTCGCTTAACATCATGACCACTTTGCACGCTCACCAACTTCCTATGCAGAATCTTCTGGAATATAAATTTCATAATTTTAGGTTTCTCCATCTTGAAATCAAGTTCAGCAGAAAAAGCTGCTTGGCGCAGCGGAAGCGCGCCGGGCTCATAACCCGGAGGACCTCGGATCGAAACCGAGAGCAGCTATGCTTGACATATTCTTTTTGCTTTTCTTTTTGCTCTGAGTTAAGAGAGAAGCGATAAGAAGGACTGGGTGGATGCTCGGCCCTATATTTTCATTTTGCATTTTTTTTATTAAAGTGTAAGATTTCTTGTCCATAACTAGTGAGCGTTGTTTTTAGTTTATCTCTACTACTGTGATTTAGATACTATATATCTGCGGTTATACGGAACGAACAATCTGTTGAAGTAGGTGGTTGAAGTCAATAAGTGAAGATTGCTGGACATATTATTCGAACAGAGACCAGAATGGAAGCTGTCTGGTAGTACTTTCCTAAGTCAAGGAAATACGTAGAAGCATTTAAGAATAGGTTTGGTCAAATTTAAGGTGTTGTTGGAGTGTGTCAACACCTACGAAGTCGATGGATGCAATTTTAATGCAGACAGCACATCTCAATCGTACATCCACAAGATTGAATCTACAACTTTGCATTTTTTCCTCCTGCAACGCCCGTAACAGGAGCGCCAGAAAGCAAGAAATCGGGGTACTCGAACCCGCCGCTGAAGCCAGCGGTATGCCACGCGCCTCCATCGACAACAAGCGCCTCTCCGTTTACAAAGTTACCCGCATCGGAGAACAGATATATGGTCGCATCCGCGATTTCCTTGACCGTACCCCACCGCCCGACCGGCACTGACTTTGCCGCCTTACTATCCGCCTTATTCGCCTCCGCCTTGGCCAACCGTGCCATTCCCTCCGTCCCGGCGATAGGACCCGGCGCAATAATATTCGACGTGATACCCTTTGGCCCTTGCTCGATAGCCACCGACCTCGCCATGGCATCCACACCAGCCTTTGCAACGCCAACATGCGACTGCAGCGGCGTCGCCGTATAATGCAGTGTGGCGCTCACGAAGATGATACGGCCACCAGTGCCATTGACAGGCTGCGTAGTTCCATTCGTACGATGTTTCGCCGCCGAGTCGACCAGATACGGTAGCGTGGCCTTGACCGTGTTGTAGCTGCCCAGCACATCGATATCGATGACGCTCTTCATTGCGTTTGCGGAGAGCTGGTCGATGGGCGCGAGGAAGTTTCCGGCCGCACCTGCGATCACGAAGTCGATGCTACCGAGTTCCTTTGCGCAGCGGTCGGCGGCTTGTTGCAGGAGTTCGGGCTTGCGCACGTCGATGGCGCCGATGCCGAGGACTTTTGACCCGGGGCGCGCGGTCGCGATGGAGGCCGCCATGGCTTCGGTTTTCTCGACGTTGCGGCCGATAATGCAGGCGTTTGCGCCCAGGGCGACCATGGCCCGGACTTGGGCGCTGCAGATGGTGCCGGCGCCGCCGGTGCAGAAGACGACTTTGTTATCTGGGGGTGGGAATGGGTTAGCGGGAGAGTTTCTGGGAGGAGGGTGAGGAGTTGGTGGTATGGGAGAGTGTATACCAAATATGCCGTCTCTCCAGACATTACTCATGTATGAATATCTATCCGCAGACATGGTGTGTGGTGTTTTCCAATCTGGGAGCTTGGTCTTGTTATGGTCTTGGTGGTTTGTGTTTGAGACTCGAGGAGGGTGTAGGCAAGGAAGAGCGCGATGGACAGGAACTGTGTTTGACGAAAGAAGAGAAGTTACACGTCTGAAGACACAAGTGATTGAAAGTATATGGATGCTCGCACCGAGTGAAGGTTACGGCCGCAGCGATCGGTGACCGGTGCAATGTATGTTGCGCTCACGGGGTAGCCGAGGTACGTTTGGTGTAAGCTAGTAATCCTCGAGGAAAGACATTCTGGTGAGACCGACATTGACCACGCGCGACATGTTCTTCCCAGCGTTGAAGTAAAATCAGCAAAACACAATGTAAGCTAACACATCCACCGCAGAGTCTAAAAATGTAAATTTCTAGCATCAATTTCCGATTGGCAGCGATAACGGGCGGGCTGCATTTACATGTGCTCTCCTCCGCATTTGGTCTGCGGGCAGGAGAGAGAGCTTGGACCACCGGGACAGGTTCCGCATCAGCTCCGCAAAATGCATGCCAGCACTCGGAGCGGGCTGAATCATCGTCATCGTCATCACCAGACGCATCACCATCACAGCAGTCAAGACTCGAGTATCATAAGCCATTGGAACGATTGCCGCCATCACAATGTCGGCACAGACAGTGTCGATATGTAAATTCGTCGGCACAATCACCCTGGGAATCGCGACGGTATGTGTGCAACAAGCCCGCCACCTTGGCAATATGATGGATGCTTCGCTGCGGGGATGAGGTGCCAGGGCGTCATTCCTGTACAGTTGATGCATCAGAATCTGTAGCAACAAGGAAGAGACATTCAAGATCTGACAATCCTCAGGGCGTCTCGGCAACCCTCTCCACAACCGCATTCCCCGCACTGCTCGCCCTCCCCACTGCCTCAAACGCACGCACTTCACTTGCCTACCTGTCCAGGCAGTCTTCCTGGCTATCCTCATATCTCCGACATGTCACTACATTCACCTTGTTCTCAGCCTATCTACTGTCGCCACGACGCTTCCGCCACCCCTATCTGCTCTACACGTCCATCTTTGCCTTCATCTCTGGTCCGGGTGTCGATTATGCTGTGACTGCCATGGAAGGGTCAGACGAGAAGAGGCAGGTCATGGAGCTAGAGGCGCAGGGTGAAGAGGTCAACGGCGAGGAGGTCAGAGAGTTTGTTGAGAGGAGACAGAGGACCGAGTTGATCAAGACGGGATTAGCGGGAGTGGCTTTCGCAATGCAGGTCGTTGGTCTTTGGGGTGATGGTGCCTAGATGGACTACGGAAGATGGAGATGCCGTAAATAGGGGTATGGGAGGAGAAGGCGTGTACGACCGTGTATGTACAAGGAGAGATGGCTTTAGGGTTTGCAATGAGTTGGGGGCTATCGGGTGGCGACTGGTGTAATGTTTGTTCCGGACTCTCCTATCATTCCCTGCTTTTTGAACTATTCATCCCGTATACGGACATTACCGTGTCAATGTGCTTTGCTCTCAGGGTGCACACTATTCAATATGCTTCAACCTCGCAAACCATATCCACTTTCCGCCAAGTGATACTGTGAAACAGCGTGTGCCCTTGTTGGAACTGACACGGATTCTTCGAAGAAACTAACGCGCTGGATATTCGTGCAGAAGACAAGTTTGTCATGGCATCAAGTACTTGACTCGATCGAGTAACGTGATTTAGGGGGATGCTGTCCGGGGACATGGTTCTCAGCTTTGCAGCTTTGCAGCCTTGCAGCCTGAGAACAGAAGTCACCATGGGCAACCGCAAGAGATAAACAGCCACCATATGGCGTGAGCGCAAATTGTCGCGGTCCAGACTTTATCCAACCATGCTTGCACCGTTTCATGTGAATTGAGGCTACAGTTGTTTACGAGCAAGCTGACGGGATTGTCGCAAAGCAAAATAAGTACAGCGACAAAATAGTTTGGTCTGCGCATCCCATGTGCTAGCAGCCATAAGAGCGTTGTGGGCGTCAGGGTTCAATAGGTGATATGCTGGTGCCAGGATGGCATGGGTTCGGCGGAGGATGCCAAGGCGACGCTCCGGCGGCCGGGATGGGCAGGGATGGGCAGGAATTGGACGGAAGCGGGAGAGGGCGGTAGCGTTCAATAGCATTGGGTGCCAGGGTTGTGCTGACGACCTGACAATAAATAGGCTACCAGTGCCTTTTTGGTATCTCACTCGCATCGTGGAATTTGTCCAGTGTCACCCTTGGCAGGCCTATTCCCGTGCTGAGCTAAGACACGCAGGTACCGAGTGCGTGTGGGATGCCTGGGATGCCTGCTTGTAAGTAACTGTAGTGTACTTACGCCCAGGGGTGCTGGCCTGTTCTCTGCCGTTGAGTCTGGCGTTCGCGCTGCTGCACGAGTGATGCAAACATGACGGAACCGAGGAAGTAAGTAAGAGGGCAGTCGTCTCACCAGCGAGTCGATGACGGCAGTGGCTGTCGGGGCTCTGCTTCAACATGTACCGGGGAGGACAATCCTCATCTCCTTGTGCAGAGTATCGCCTCTTGATCCATAATTAATCCAGACGCGTAGCGCTGACCAGGTCCCCTGCCGATCGCGCTATCGATACTGGAGAGTTTGCACTGGGCCTAGCGGTGCTGCGAGAAGCATCGCTTAGGCCCAGGCAGCCGGCGCCTCATTGGCCCAAAGCGGACGGGGGCTTGCGTCATAATCCATCCAAGACGTGATCTGCCCGAGCCTCTGCCAAAGCGAAGCGAATTGAGCGAGCGAGCGTGGTCAAAGAGATAATGGCTCCCACTCACACTCCCGCTCACACTCCCACTCGCTCCCAGGCCGCGTGTGCGCGCGTGCGGTGGCTGGCTCGCGGGGACTTGGCCGGTCGACCCTTTAGTGCCAAGCCTGCCATCAGTCCCAGTTTGTCTAGCCCTTGCGACTAACAGTCAATCCAAGCGAGAAATGAGGCAAGATAACTGCCTATGGATGCCATACATAGCTGTACTTCCGGAGCCTGTGGGCATACTGAATTCATGCTGACAGCTGTTGATAAGCAAAACGGCCGGGTCTTGTACATGCCGGACAGGACACTGCCATGCTGCCATGATGCCATGATGCCATGCTGCTATGGGCCGTCTTGGGCGGGCGGGCGCATCGCCCTGTCATGTTGGACGAGGGCAGCATCTTGGCTGTGTGAGTGGTGGAGAAAGCGACGAGGCTTGACGCCGTTGCTTGAGAGTGTCAACGGCCCGGTGCCTTGTTGTCAGTTGAGCGCCTCAACAGGTTGCAAAGAGTCGCGCAGGACGTGTGCTGGCTAAGTAAGTAGACGGTAGGCAAAGGTCTTGTCTGTCAAGGTTGTCGGTCGAGGACAGGCGCAGGGTGGTGCAAGAGGCGCGGGTGCAACGATACGCCCGCTGGTTGGCTGTACGACGAGGACGAGGACAAGGACGAGGGAGGCATCGATCGTGACCCCTGGTGCAGGCCCCTTGCGATTGCTGCATGCTGCAGGCTGCAAGCTGCATGCAACGGCCTGGCTCATGTAAGAAGGTAAGTAAGTAATGGTCGTAGATGGTGCCAACTCCTGCTTCTGATATTTGCTGCGACGACTGGCTCGCCGTCCAACGCCACCACACCGTGCTAATTCTGCGCCGTGCCAGGTGATCAGCACACATCGCACACAGTCAAAACACGCTGCCAGTCCTGCGCCGTGCGACACCCAACCATTCCATCTTTTCGCTTGTCTCTTCACACTTTCGTTGTCGTACTTGACCCTTACTCTCGTTTGTCTGTCCACGCAGACCACAAGCCCTTCGTTTATACATAGCCATCAATGCGGCGCCGCCCTGACGGTTACTTTTGATCCTCCTGTTTGACATAGTGCTTTCATCTCCGGAAAACACGCCGCCGCGGTGCCACTAAGCACAGCAGCACCAGCACCTGCACCACCTTATTAACCTTAGCAAAAGCAACAGAGCTCCTGTCCATCCCGAACTCGGCTCCCGTCTGTCTAGTGTATTCCCCCCCATTCAAGGGCACTCGCATCTGTCGTCAGTTCAGGCGCGGCGACGAGCCTGTTATACGACCTATAGGACGCCATTTAACCGCAAGCACCCAACCCAACCCATCCACCCACCCCCCGGCCCGTCATCCAAGTACGGAGTCGGACACTGTTGGCGGAAAACAAGGAACACGGCAGCTCGAGTCAGGCAGCGTGCCCAGTGCGGAAGAGGCGGAGGAACTAAAGGCCAAAGCGGGAGGGATCAGGACGTGGATAGTGCTCGAAGCAGCAGCACAGACCTTGGTATCGATTTAGCGCTCGTAAGTCCGCCGCTCCACCAGCCTCCATCCCCAACAGAGCCTTTTCCTGGCCTACAACCTGCTGTGCTACAGCTCACACCCGCTCGACCACCCACCAAGGCCAGCAATGCTAACCACAGCCTGAGCCAACAGGATCTTCCCCCCCCCTCTCTCTCTCTCTCTCTCTCGCACCCTGCCGCCTTCTTGTACCCGCGAACTGCACCTTGCACCTGCAGTCTCGAGAGCGCGTCGACCAGGTCCCAGCCAGCATCCAGCGACCGGCCGGCTGACGGGCCAAAGGCTGTACCACCTCACACCACAGCCACCCTCTCACCCCGCCTGCAAAGCCTTTCGACGGCCCGCTTCATCTGAACCGTCTTCACCGTCCCCCTCGTTCGCTTTGTAGCGCCCTCCCGAATACGGCGGCGTCCAATCGCTTTTCCCTTTCAGCGCCGTCTTTGTTGCGCTCAAAGACGCCACCGCATCTGTCTCATTCACGTCGCCGAGTAACACCCCGTATCTTGCGCAAACTTCGACGTCTACCGACATATCCTCCCCGTCTACGACTATAGACTTTCACAATGCATAACCGATTCACATCAACGCTCTTTGGCTTTGCCGCCTTCTCTACCCTCTTACTCTCCATACAACCTGCCGGCGCTTCAGACTGGACATATCCATACTGCTCTTCATTAAACACTGGAGAGCAAGACACTGCCTGTAAGTTCTCCTCCCTGTCCTGCGCGTCACGCAGCCTCTAACCTCTCAGATACCTGGCCATACCAGTCCAATGGTAACTGTACCAACCATTGCAAGGAGGAAGGAGGCTCATGGGCGTTTGCTGTTATCAAATACACCGACTGCTGGTGTTCCAACTATGTACCCGGAGATACAGCAAGCTTGAGCGACTGTCTGCAGGACTGTCCTGGCTTCCCCGACGAAAAATGTGGTAGCAAGGACAAAGGTCTTTACATCTATGTCCAAATGGACGGCCAGCCATCCGGTACTAAGGGAGGCTCGCAGCCCTCCTCCACCGCAGCTGCGCCTTCTAAGCAATCGCAACAACCGCAGTCGCAACCACAATCACAACAACCAACTGTTAGTGCTTCTTTTCTTTATCTCATCAACCCTGCCCCCTTCCCTTTCATTAGTCAATCTACCTCAAGGTCTCCCTTGGCTGTACGTGCGCAATTACAAGCTATCGGTGTTTGACCTTCTGGTAGTATGCTCCACCTCCTGCACAAGTGGTAACGAGCATTGTGACGCAGAAACCAGAGACCGTCTTCTCGACGGTCACTGCAGAGCTGGACTCTACTTCGTCTTCATCCTCCACTGATGTACTTCGCTTCCAACCTGGTCTGTTACCCTAAACTAACATCTGATACAGACCAAGAAGCCATCGTCTACGCAAGCTCCTTCCCAGACTCAGGAGCCAGTGACAGTGCCGACTCTGGTCACCGAAAGTGGAAATGTTGTTACCCGCACTGTTGTCATAACACCATCGGCCCCTGCCCCTGCAACTAATGACTCGAAAGATTCACCAAACGTAGGTGCTATTGCTGGTGGCGTAGCTGGTGGCATCATTGGTCTACTTGCCATCATTGGTATCGTCTTCTTTGTCTTGTGGAAGAGGAGGAGGCAGCAACGCGAGGGGCAAGAAGGCGGTGGCGGCATCCAACGCAATGTCAGCACTATGAGCAGGGCTGGTTTGCTCGGTGGACGTGCTGAAAAGTCGCCTACACCCCTTACCACAACTTTTGGTTCCCAGCGCAGCCGATCCAACGAAGAGTCGATAACGCCCATGACTCCATCAACCCGCAGATTAAGTCAACCAATTTTAGTCGACTCTCGCCTCAACCCAGCTGCTGTTCTCACCTTTCACGGTGCTAACTTAAGTCGAGAAAGCTTAGGCAGCATCGACGACAGCCGGGATTACGGTCGCCAGCTGAATGTACGGAATCCCGATCCGTAGAGAGTACGAGACTTCAAAACCACCATTCCATGCAAAATCTGGACCGGCACTTGACCAAAATGTACAGTGCCCTAGAACAACACTAAAAATTCGAAGCTAGCCCCAACGATCATCAGACAGAAGTTGGGGCACGACTCACGAACACACAAGCATGTTCTACTCGCACTAGCCTGGCGTAATGTTTAAGCGGCGATACACTGACGTCAACTCCATTTCATTATCGTCTTTAGTCATGCGACAGTTCATTGCCAGGACCTCGTCCGTCTGTTTTCTTTATACATCCTTAAGGCACCGGAGCCTATGTACTATATCCTTCCTTTGGCTGCAATTTCGTTGGACAACAATGTACATATTTATACTAGGTGGGAGAGATGACACAAAAGCGCCTTGCTGCGCAATAGCACATGGGACTCAGGCCATGACCCAATGGCAGATTGGGAGGCAGAGAAACAAAAAGAAATTGTTCCTAATTAGGTGAGAAATGGGACTGTTGCGTGAGTACAGATACCACGCAACTGCATCACCAGTCTGTAACTGAATGTACACATCACCATTCAATATTTTATTGCAGATACACACGTTCTATCCATTAATAGACCATCACTATGCTTACTATACGATTTTGACAAGATCCCTTGTTCGTGTGTGAAGATTGCCAAGACGCTAACAGCTCGTTGTCTGTACTTAGGGTAGTCGTTAGCCTTTCTTCCTCGCATAGCCTCTATACCATATATTATGGAAGCTCTTCCAAACGAATTGTTACTCGAAATCATCAAGGAGCTGTTCCTCGAAGCATTCAGCACAGCCTTGAACATTGGCCTCGTGAACCGGCGCCTGCATCGCCTTACCAATGAGCTCCTGTATAGCACGTACTCTTTGAGTCGCGGAAACCCAGCTCTGTTTATACGCACCCTTGCGTCCTGGCCTGCCCACGCACGACGCATCCAAAGTCTGGAATGGGATTGTAGGCCTGCGCACAACAATTCTCTGATCACCAGCGATGCTTTTCGATTCCCTGGTGATTTGGCACGAATAGAACGCCGTAACATCGCAAAAGCGTTAGACCCAGAGATCCCTTATGCGGCGGACGACCTCAATTCTATATTGATGGATGCCGGTACAGACGCATATCTAAATCTATTCCTAGCATTCGCGCCGGATGTTTGCGACATCCGAATTGTTATACCTTCCAAATGGAATTATCGCGCTGTTTGGTTCAAGCCGGCGTCAGATCTTCGAATTCTTTCCAATCTCAATAAAGCATATATTGTTGGCCCGATGCGCATTCGGAATGTCATTCCCCTATTCCTGCTACCTTCACTACGCAGTTTGACTCTGGACCATGTAGTATACGATAGGAACCGCGTACTACCTGGTATCTTCAAATGGCCCGAGTATAATGCAGCCCTTCACAGACTACGGAAACAAAAGTCATGGGTTGAAAGCTTTCATATACAAAAATGCAGCGTCGACACAGTAGAAATAGCTCGGTTGATGCCATTATTTGGTCATCTTAAAACATTCGAGTTTGAATTCACAGGCCATGAAAAAGATGAAGCCAATCCGACCATTACACATTTTGTGCATTCTATCTCAAATCAGTCGAATTCACTCACATCGCTGTTTCTCAAGGACTTTCGCCTAGCATTGGATCAGACCGCACTGAAAGGACTAAGCAAGCTTGGGCACCTGGATTTCCTTCTTCTTGATATGACGATGATGTGCGGCTCTTATCTCCAGAACACCACAGTCAAATCACTAACGTGTTTTATCAGTAAGCGGCCCACATCAGTAAGTGGCCCACCCCACCAAACTTGACGCGGCTCTCTCCACAACCACCACAATGCCGCG